GATCTAACCCAAAGAAGTTCTGAGACACCATGAACCATGGATCTATACTCAGCCTCTGCACTTGACCTTGCCACAACCGCTTTCTTCTTACTCTTCCAAGAGATCAAGTTTCCACCTACAAAGGTACACACTCCTGATGTAGACCTCCTGTCATCTAAGCATCCTGCCTAGTATGCATCTGTATAGGATTCTAGCTTTAGATTCTCATGATTTGAGAAAAGTGCCTCTGCCAGGGTGCTTTTTCAGATATGCAAGTATTCTCTCAATAGCTTCCCAGTGCTGAACCCATGGAACATGCATGTACTGACTCACAACACTGACAGCATAAGAAATATCTAGTTGTGCCATACACAAATACAGTAGTCAGCCCACCATTCTTTGATATCTCCCCACATCCTTTACCAATTCACCATCCACACCATTAATTCTGTGATTTGGATCAATAGGAGCGTCTGTTGGTTTGGTCCCCAGCTTCCCAGTCTCTCGCAAAAGGTCAAGTACATACTTTCTTTGTGAAATGAAGATCCCATGCTTGGATCTTGCAACTTCAATCCCTAAGAAGTATTTGAGCTCACCAAGATCTTTGGTCTCAAATTCTTGCTGCAATGATTTTTCGAGATCATCAATCTCCTCCAAATCATTTCCTGTCACCACTATATCATCCACATACACAATCAGAATTGACACCAACGCATCTCTCCTCTTCACAAAGAGGGTGTGATCAGACTTCGTCTGTGTATATCCAAAACGGATAAGTGCCCTTCTGAACCTGTCAAACCAAGCCCTATGTGACTGTTTCAGTCCATACAGAGATTTTTTGAGTCTATTCACCTTTCCTTTACCAACATTTTCTTAAAAGCCTGCTGGAATGTCCATATATACCTCCTCCTGTAAGTCACCATTGAGAAAAGCATTTTTGACATCAAGTTGGAACAAGGGCAATGAATAGGTGGTTGCTAGAGATAAAAAGATATGAACTGAACTCATCTTAGCTACTGGTGCAAAGGTTTCCAGATAATCAACACCATAGGTCTGAGTATACCCTTTTGCTACCAACCTTGCCTTGTACCTCTCTATCTTGCCATCGGCCTTATACTTCACTATGAATACCCATCGACATCCGACCGTCTCCTTGTTTGGGGGGAGATCAACTATTTCCCAAGTTTGGTTTTTGACCAAAGCATCAATCTCATCTTGCATGGCTGTTTTCCACTCAGGTTTGGAGAGAGCCTCAGTAACATTCCTGGGTATAAACACAGAATCCAGGGTAGAAAGAAAAGCACGATAGGAGGGTGATAAGGCACTGTAGGAAAGATGGTGTGAAGTGAAGTGGGCTGTACACTTTCTCTTCGCCTTACGAAGTGTAATGGGAAGATCAATGCCAGTGGGATCAGCTGCAACAATGGTGTTAGGGACAGAAACATTATCATCATAAAACATAACAGGCTCAGGCTCAAGAGGGAATACCTGGAACTGTATCTGCAGAATCCGAAGTTTCAGAAGGACTGACAGAGAGTGGTGTGGGTTGAGGATGTGTAGAGTCAACCATCATCTACCGGCGCTGATATTGCTGTGAGGCTGCCCGTAGTGGCTTAGGTAATGAAATTGGAGGTGCAGGTGCTGGCTGAACTAAAGTAGATGCTGACTCAACTGATGGAGGCACCACAGAAACAAGAAGAGGAACAGATTGTGAGTTCTTCTCCCCAAAACTCTCCCCCTGAGGAGAACCACTCGAGAAGAAATGTGGATTCAAAAAAGGTAACAACCATAGTGACAAATCTGCTCTTCGACATTGGGTCATAACAGCAATAACCCTTTTGGTTCTGAGCATACCCAAGAAAAACACATTTCTTGGCCTTAGGATCCAA